TGCTGATGATGGTGTCTTAATTTGTGACAACATAGTCTATCTTCAACAACTTGTCACTATAATCGGAGAATACAGTAAGCGAATGGGATTAGAGATTAATATTAAAAAAAACCAAATTTATGATCATCTCCCGAAACTTGGATGCACTTGAAAACTCCACTATAACACTGAATACTAAGTCCATTGAAAGAGTGAGTAAATTTAAATACCTGGGATCGTGGCTTTTTGAAGACTGGGCATCGGACAGGAAGTAAAATGTCGCATTGAGCAAGCTCGACAAGCTTTCGTAAAATTCAAGAAGGTACTGACTTGTTCAGAGTTCGATCTTCAACTGAGACTAAGGTTTACTAAGTGCTACGTGTGGTCAGTGCTGCTATATGGCGTAGAGGGCTGGACACTCAAAACGAGGAATATAAACAGATTAGAAGCTTTCGAAATGTGGCTCTATCGCCGTATCCTAAAAATACCATGGACAGCGAAAATCACAAATATAGATGTCCTTAAAAGAATAATCCCAGAACGCCAACTTTTCGAAACCATCAAGAAAAGGAAAACGGCGTATCTAGGTCACATCATGCGAAATGAAAAATACCAGTTCCTCCAACTTATAATCGAGGGTAAAATTGAAGGCAAGAGAGGATTGGAATGCAAGAAAATGTCCTGGCTCCGAAACATAAGGCAATGGACAGGGATTAACGACATACAATCTCTGTTACATATTGCAAGAAATAGAGAATTAATGGAAAATGTGATCGCTAACATCCATTAGTGGATTTGCATCTGAAGAAGAAGAAGAAGTTCGTCATAGCTCCGAATAAAATAATAACTATTAAAATACCGTATAGTCCGACAAGCGAGAGCTGGCGGGTGAGCTGCGCGAAAATAGAAAGGAATTATTCTAAGAGAGATAGGAGAGGTACTTAATCGCGATTATAGGTATATAGTATAGGTACTTAAACGGTTATACACGATGTGAACTCCTAGCCGACTGCAATAGAAATGAGCAATCCCTTCCACTTTTCAATTTGTTCTACGCGCAATCGCCAGCTCTAGCTTATCGGGTTATAATAGTATACGAAAAATTAATAAAATGTATATAATTAAATCTTAAAAGTATTTTCAAGTCGATCAAATCTACTATTACGTTGCTAATATCGATTCTTACAATATTCATGGAAGCATAGTGGTTGTGGTTAGTAAACCCGGTAGACCTGGTTAAGATTGAAGGATATCTGTCTTACGTTAGATGAGTATTCCAGTAAGACCAGTGTTGCCAACTAGCATCAAGCTGCGAAGAATAAGACACATAGAAATGAGTTTAAGATGAACGAGGTTCATCTTACGTCATAGCACGAATGGTGAGGGGGGATGACAGGAAAAAACGTTAAAATTTAGAAAGTCAAAGATAAAATATTAGGATATTTTAATAGGAAATTTAAAACTTGACGGTTAAATGAACAGAATTCTTCCTTACCCTATAAAAAAAATTAAATTTTAAACCGGAATAGACAGTTTTAGACGAATGGACCTAGATTTTGAAACCCAATTAAATAGTTTCGAGTCCTTTTTGGAAAAAAAAGTAATAACAATGCCTAAATTTTAACTTACCATTATAGTAACAGTTAATGACAATATTGAAAACTTCATGGTTTAAAATTTAAAAGTTTTTGTCTCTTTTACATGTTTTTATACCAATTTTGAACAAAAACTAATTATTTGGTTTAATTATGATTTCCTGCTTTAATTTAAATCTATTCTTTAACTTCATAAAACTTATGATTTATGAAGTAATAATTGATTTTTTATCAGAAGATAAGGAAATTGCGTTTTGTAAAAAGATCCAAACTGCCATTGGCTATTGAAAGTTTTTCATTTTTAAACCTTTTTTTCCATCTTTCCATGATCTAAGTTTCTTTTTATTTGTCATACAAGGTTGGTAAGGTAATTGAGGTCTATCTTCATACATTTTTTCTACACGATTGTACTACTTCACTGATATCGGTTAATTGGGAAACAATTTGAAAAAAAAATTCTATTGAGGCTGATTTTAGAGCTGTTTTAAAGGCATTTAGACATGCTGGTTTTAAATTTGTAATTAAGTAGTTTTTCCCTACCGCGTCTATTTTTTTCTATAAATCACAATCTACATGGATCATAGGAAGGCCATATTGCTCTCCTACTGGCTGACATGAAGCATCTCCGTATGACCGTCTTGCCATGACGCATACGATAATGTTGGATTAAATTTGAAAGTAAAATTGATTTTAAAATTTAAGAATGAAGTCTGTTGACCAGTGTCTCTTCAGTGTTCGTCTTACTTCTGGTTGGAGTGTAGTTACCTTCCTTCCTTGTTGGAGTGGGCTGGCAGGTGTTCCAAATAGTTTATTTCTTGTTAGTCTGCTAATTTGTCTGTAAGGAGCGGTATCCTAGAGTCGTCAAGCAATATTTTATTACTAACCTACCAAGGCGCGTTAAAAATCATTCTGAGTGTCTTGGATTGGATTCTCTGAATGATTTTGTTATTAAAAAGCTTGGCACAGCGCTATAGTTGCACTCCATATGTTCATATGGTGTGGTTAACTTTGATTTTTTATCCGTTCATCCAATCTTGTAGTAGATTCAGGTGTATATTATAAAGGTTTTCTGATAAAACATAGGTAATGTGAGATTTATATTAGGATTTTATTAAAAGTTTGGAAAGATTGTGATTCTATTTGGTTAGGAGGATATACAGTTGATGTATTTTGTAAAATTGGTGCTGCATTTGGTTGAAAATTTTGTGGGAAAAAGGCATTTGGGCATTCTGGCCGAATTTGCTGTTGCGTGCAATGAACACTCATTGCAAAATATGGTAGAGCGCCCATTTTAACTGTTAAAACTGTATATTTTAATTTTTAAATAGTTTCTTAGAATTTGTACACCTAATACCCGTCCATGTATCACGTATAAAGACGCTAAAAACGAGGTCAGTGGCCCATTGGGTCCACAGATTGGGCAGATTTCATTAATATTTCATCAGAATAATACCAGAGATTGAAAAGAACTTGTCACCGCTTGGTAAGTTTTTAAAAACATTGCTAAAGACTTTCTTGGAAACACAAGAACCACTCTAACCTATAAAGAAGAAGACTACCATGACGACCACGCACCAGATAGAAAGAAAACATATTTAAAGATACACAGAGACCTTATGATGGACCGTAACAAATGGAGGCAGATAATACAGATAGATAAGTCCCACGATGGGTTGTAGAGCTACAGAGTAAGTAATTGTCATTAGGTAAGTTAAAATTAAACAACATATTTATTGAACAAATTTTATTAAAATCAAAATAGTGCTTTATTTAAAATCAACTCAGTGAGGCACAATATGCATTTATTTCATCACATCTCCGATAAACTATTAAAACGTTAAAATAAGAATTAACCTATAATGTAAAAAAGCAAAAAGTTAATATCAAAATCAATTATGAATAGCATTTACGCATTGTTCAGACTGTATTCTGGACTTCACACTAATTCGCTAACAAATAAAGTATATCTAATACGAACTTTTAAATGTATTGATTTTAGAGATAGTATTTGCGAATTTTATTTGATGTGCAGTGTTCAAAATAACACTTACAGTTTTATTAAATCTTTATAACATAGTTTAATAGTCAATAGGAATCGTTTCTTCCAGATTCGTTCTGTACGTCCATGCACCTTTCGCTTTTCCAGCGGCTTAACTCCTTTTAGTACGGTTCATTGAATAACCGACACCAAGTCAGAACTCTCCCACAATCTCATCCATCGACTCACTCGACTCACCCGGGAACTTCAATTCAAAGCCTAGATTCATGTTGGAATATATATATATATTATATATATATATATATATATATATATATATATATATATTATATATATATATTATATATATATATATATATATATATATATATTATATATATATATATATATATATATATATTATATATATATTATATATATAGCTATCGCTTTAAACAGCCGTCACTGAAGCGTGGCTCAAAAAATAAACCTGGTACACTACTCACAGAAGTGAGTCTGCCAGCTATATGAGCCTATTTATAATTGCCCTATGCCATATATATTGATAATCTTAAAGCGCAACCCAAGTGGTTTACTACATATTGATGTAATACTATGCGCAATAATGCAGTAATTAGTTCTGTGAGTGGTCGAATTTAAATCCAAATTAGATACAGCAATCTATGATGTCAGTGAGTTTCTATCAACGGTTGTTGTTTAATCATGGTTGTACTGTAGGTAATTGTTGTATTTAGTCGTTTGAATTTTTCTATAAGTATACTTTAGCCACCTACTTCAAAAGCCATGAGACCTTGTAGCAGTACATACATGGTATCACGTAGCTCCCGGTGCCAGGCAAACCATGTTTTATTAGCCTTTTTCAAGCATGAGGAACTTTAGTAGAAGGAACACTTCCCTCTCTACTTTCTTGAAGGACAGGACTGGACCAGGAACAATACACAAAAACCCAATAATGCTCATGATAAATAAAAAAAATTAACAGCAGCCACTAAGGCAGATTTGAAATCTACAAAGGAAGATATTGGATATACACAAAATATTCAGCTCGTAGTACTGAAATATATATGAGGACAAACAACTGCATTATCCACAGTCTGTAATACTTTAGCGTTATTATTTATTTAACTTTCACATATTTAGTGCCATTATATGTATTCCTGCATTTACCATAAGCTTAACTATATCTTCCAACGACTTTTTGACTGATGTGAACCATGTGATGATTAAAACTCTATTTTCAATTGAAATATTTGCAAAAATTACTATAAATGTAGCGAATTTAGTGATAATCCAGGACACTCTCCTCAAAAAATCTGTTCGTTAGGCTTTTTAATGAACAACGAAAGCTTGACCTAGGGCCTTAAGTATAAAAACGTTTCTATTTAAGCAGACCTATGTAATTAATGTCAATAACAAGTCTAGGCTTTCGAAATTTCATGATTGGGATTTATTCGATTCTTAGCGAGATTATCAGATCGGTATATAATTTGCTGTCCGTCAAAAATCTAGATTTAAATTTTGAAATTACAATAGGAAGATTAGTTTCAATATCGATCCATTAAAACTTTTATCAAATATCCTCGATTACTTGTATATAATTTATTATTGAGTTTCAATATTAAGTAAGCTATATATTATTTTTTTTATAATTGCTGTATTTCTAAAAGTATCCTTGATATAAATTTGTGCCTTAGTAAAATATTTCTTCTCATTCTGTATAAGAAATAGTTGTCCAAAATTTACACACGGCATTGATTGTTATGTAGGAGTAAGACACGCCCTTTTCAAAATGGCGCCTCTAATGTCAAATGTCTAATTTGACACAAACAACATACGTCAAAGCAGTGTACAGTCCTTTATCTGTGGTCATATACTGAGTGGTGCTACTGTGTTACTTAGCTGGACTTGATTTTTAAATTGAGTCAACTGTATAAAAGATAGTTGTCCAACAATGACACATAGCATTGATTAGCATGTAGGAGTGAGACACGCCTTTTCAAAATGGCGCCTGATATGTCAAATGTCTAATTTATCACAAAGAACATGCTACTGCTGTTTTACTGTACAATAATTATTGAAAAATAAGACAAATTATTAGACTGATGCATAATGTAATCATTTTTATTAATAGCAAAATTTAAATCTTGACTTTTGACGGACTTTCGATAGTATTCTAAAAAAATTCAGATCATGTACTTGTCTAAACTAAAAGATATGTGCTTCTTTGAATAAGAGCGGCAGTGGCCTACAATTTTTTATAATTTCTGTATTGAAATTCATTACAACTCAAATCCTATCAGATCTAAAACCGTACCTGACTTTCCACTATTCTGAATATTATTATTGGTAAATTATCTTCGGCAACGTTTGAATTCGACAAATTCTTAGGTGATATAAAATATGCAAAAACTTTTTGGTTTTACAGGAAAATTGAAACCAACTACGTTTTTTTGGTAAACAAAATTGTTCCACATGACATACCTTATAAAATGATGCAGCAACAGTGAGTACATTGTGAGAATAGTAAAATGTATTATTATTTCTTGAGAAATTTGGTGATCTCGTCTAGCTATCATCAGTAAGAAGACAAAAGAGAAAGTTTTGCTTTGAGTCGAATGGTATGGAAACATCTTATGGTAAAAAAAGCATCAAGTGAAATAACACTTAAGAAAAATGTCTTGACAACCAAACAACTATAGTGTATGGATGAATCTACAGTATTGTGCGAATTAATGGAGTCACTATGAATTTTTTTTTCATTTTTTCAATATTCACAGTTGGCAACACTACCTATACACGTCGACAGCTGACCAAGCATTGAAAACATAACCTTACTGTGTGTTGGTGTGTTTGAGTGTGTTTTAGGTCATTTCTTACCAAGCTTGTGTTGTTTTGGGGGTTTTTGTACTATTTTGTGTTGTTTTTGGTTTTATTCCAACATAGATATTACGCCTAGGAAGCGTGAAAAGATTGTCACGTTGAGTGAACACACTAGTATGCCACAAAGAGAGATTGCTAGAACATGTGGAGTGAATCAGGGGGTAGTAAGCAAAATTTTGGAGCGTAAACGAGAAACGGGATCAGTGGATGTGAAAAGGTTAGGAAAATGTGGAAGAAAGAGAAAAACAACACCAGCAGATGATAGATTTTTACTTCGAAAGAGCAAATTGGACCCAAGACAATCAAGCCAAGACCTACAACAAGATCTAGCAGCATCAGCTATAGTGATTCATGACTCAACTGTTCGTAGAAGACTTTTGGAGAATGGTAAAAGGGCAATTCGTCCACAGAAAAAAACAGCTTCTAACTGAACGAATGCAGAAACAAAGGCTACTGTGTGCCAAAAAATACTCTAATTGGACTGTAGGCGACTGGAAAAAAGTCCTATTTACAGATGAAAACCACTTTATAGTTCAGGGACAGCGGTCGAAATTCGTCAGGAAGTCTGACAACGAAAAGCTCAATCTTAGATCTTTGGTGCCAATTGAAGGCATGATAAACAGCCAAACATACAAATCCATGTTGGAAAAGTATTTGGACAAACAACTCCAAAAATGTCAACCCCAAGGAGGAGCGATTCTTCAACAGGACTCTGCTCCCTGTCACAAATCAAAGGAAATGATGGCATTTTTCAAAAATAAGAAGATTAATGTTTTAGATTGGCCCGGTAATTCGCTCGACCTTAACCCATTGAAAATTTATGGGCCATTTGTAAAGCTAGACTGCGAAAAATCGACTGTACCACTAAAACAAAAATGATAGAAGCGGCCATTCAGGTTTGGTATCGAGATGAGAGGATATCTGACAACTGCCAGAAACTCATAGAATCTATGCCAAAACGGGTAAAAGCAGTAATTGTTGCCAAAGGGGGACATATTTCCTACTGAATGATGTAAGTTTACCTTTATAGTTTTGTCAAAATATAATTGTTTACTAAATAAACTGTTTTTTCATTAAAACAGCCTATGATTCCATTAATTCGCACAATACTGTAGGTATATGTTTCAAGATAATATTACAACAGAGCTATGTCAGGATATTCTTACAGTGTCTCATCCAAGAATTTATTTGACGCCAACAATCTGAATAACTGAACATGAATTTGTAGATAATTCATTCAATTCTTCGCCGATGTCACCAGTAATAATATCAGAATATTCACAGCATGTTTAGAGTCTGCTCTATAACAACAAATAGATATTTGGATAAACTCTGAGAGCCCCTGTTAAATAAATGCTCGCATTTTTCGTATCAGCTGTACATATATATTAGAGAAAGCTAATTTTATCTTGTAAGAATACACCCAATGTTGGAGCTTTCAGAGTTTATGCAAGTTCTTGACAGTACTAACAAATAACAAGTAACTTTGTCTAATCCTGTTTTCACATCAACAATCACATACTTTCCAATATTTTGATTTACCTGTTAATAATACATAGATAAAAATATTATCTTCAGCTCTAATTCTATGGATATAGGGTCTCAACGTCATCAAAAATGTAGACACACAGTGCGGTTTTTAGTAAAAAATCGATTCAGTAACAATTGCTTTAAAAAGCAAATATATATCTATATGTCTATATTATTTATTCACAGCGAAGAAAAAGCGCTCATACACGAAGCGCGCGAATATATGCTCAGAAACGCACAATTATATCTCGAAGATGAACCATCAGAAATATGATCACACGGTCTTGCATTTCGCGCACTTTTTCTTGGCTGTGCATGTTATATATAATAATTTCAATAGTTTGACTAAATATCATAATTTTATACATTAAAAGCAGTTGAGATATGGAAAGGAGTGATACGAATATATAATATTATGTTCTATACATTTTGGGGCACAAATGACAGTATAAACAGTTTTATTAACTTAGTTTACTCTTATTTAAAATAGAATGTTTTCGTACCAAAATGCACCCTTTTTCAAACAAAAAAAGACCACTAAGAAATGCTTTTCGAAAAAAAAAAACATGTGTCTTTCACTTTATTACCAGTTGGTTTTGGAATGTTCATAAAGTCCAACTCTTCTAAGCCGCTATATTAGAAGTAATTTAAGTGACTTATTTGGTACAGAAACAAACTATTTCCAAGTGTGCAGAGTGTTTTATGAAGTATATACAGTATTTAAAAAGCCTCCACTATACCGTGTCGATATTTTTGATGAAGTCCTTTGCGTAATTTTAAATTTACAGCCAAAATATTCCACCAATCGCGTCAGTCACAATTATAAATTTCAATACAGTTTGCGGTAACATTTAGCATACGACTGCTGATATAGGATTTTCTGTGATATGAATGATACTTGCAGGCCACTGCCCAGTGGGTGACATCTTTGACTTGAGCAATTCCTCTAGAGAAGCTTTACGAAACATTGCCATTTTGGTTGGAGATAGAGGAGCGACTGAAAAAATATCAAATTGTTAGTTATATATACGAAAACAAAATATTCTTACACTTTCTTATACGTTTATCTTACAGTTTATTACAGATCCCTTAGCTAATGCATATACAAATCAAAGTATGGAACACTACAACTAAATCGACTATTTGATACGCTGTGTACCTGGACATACCGGTATATCATTCGTAGGCAACAACATTTCGTTTGCATAGTAAGAAGCACAGCCAGAAGAACGATATCGGATTGTGTGAAAGGTATGAAACGTAACCACTGGTACGAACAAATGAGTCTTGAACATTCAAAGACTTTTATACCTGAACCTACGAAAAATGAATTTACAGATCTACAATACATGAATAGAAATAATATGCGAAAAACCTATAGGATACTGTCGCCTAAAGAATGCACAAAGTGCGAATTGCAAATGTTCGACGAATATCTTTCTGTGCAACTCTCCATGGTTGGATAGGTCAAGGCTCAATACATTAGATAACAAAAAGTCCTAAATATTAATATAATTGGAGATTTAATGTGGTAGTACTGGCTCATGAGTTTTTGGGCAAACATGAAATTATAATAAATCTTACAGCCTAGATCATTTAGGACCCCAAGGCAAAAATAACATTTAGATGGTCAAGCGGAATTCAACATCCCACTATACATCTGTTTTATAGATTACCGTAAACCATTCGACAGGGTCAAGTGGAGACACTTATGGCGAATACTAAAAGAAGTAGGCGTACCACAACATCTAATTACGCTTATAACCGAACTATATGAACACACTACTGGATCAGTTAAAGTACTTGACACACTTTCGAACGAATTTCATCCAGAACGGGGTGTCAGACAAGGATGTATACTATCTCCACAATTATTCAACATATATAGGGGAGTATATTATGCGAAGAGCACTTGAAGGATGGGAAAAGGGCATCTCAATAAATGGTCATAAACTAAACAACCTACGTTTTGCAGATGACACAGCCCTTCTTGCAAATAGTCAAGCAGAGCTGATAGAACTTATACCACTGATCGAAAACGAAAGTCAAATATTTGGTCTGCAATTAAACATATCAAAGACAAAGATCATGATAGTGGATAGACTACACAACCAATCATCCACACATAACCACAATTGACCGGTTCGAGGTTGTGAGCTCATACTTATATCTGGGATCATTAATCACAAACACAGGCTCATTACAAGAAGAGATTAAACGTAGATGTGATCTAGCAAAAGTTGCCACAGCAAAAATGACCAAAATATGGAAGGACTGTCAAATTTCAAGAGCGATAAAGATGAGGTTGATCAACTGCTTAATATTCCCAATACTGACCTACGGATGTGAATCTTGGACTCTGAGACAATCGGAGAGAAGAAAGATAGACGCCACTGAAATGTTCTGTTGGAGACGAATGTTACGAATTCCTTGGACCGACCGTAGAACAAATAATTCAATTTTAAGAGAGCTAAAAGTTAGCCAACGACTCTCTAGTAAAGTCCATCTCCAACAATTAAAATATTTTGGGCATGTTATGAGAGTAAACACAGAAAACATGGAAAGACTCATAATACAAGGAAAGGTATAAGGCCGAAGATCACGAGGAAGATTCCCAACAAGATGGATAGATCAAATTACAGGAATATGCCAAAGACCTATGCATGAATTAAAAGAAATGACCAGAGACAGAGATCTCTAGAGACGGACAATACACGACATCACGTCGACCACTACACTCCCCCTGGGGGGTCAGGATTGAAGAGAGAGAGGTCAAGCGGCTATTCTGGCAGTCAAGAAACCACTTAACAAATCAAAACTGGTGAAGAACTGCAAAATCTCCATAACAACCTGGCAAAAGATAATACAGTGTGTTTAATATGGGTGCAGGTTATGAAGGGGTGCATGAGAATGAACGAGCAGATTTGTTGCCAAAACAAGGCTCGATAGAAACCTTTGTCGGCTCAGAACCATTCTGTGGCATCACTAAAGATGCTACAAAAACAAGTTTTATAAGTGGCCAATAAAAAATCATCCAAAGAAATGAGAGGACAAATTCAGACTATGAAAATCATCAAGAATATTGGTAAAACACTGTCGAACAATTTGATGAACCTCAATAAACAAGATAAAAACTAGGTAAGCTGAATGTACCATGGTGCAGAAAATGTGAAATATAGAAAGAGGCTGCCAAAAATACTATTTAATAAATGTCTATTTGAAGGCAACATACCCGAACAATGGAATACTGCTAAAAAAATACCAATATACAAAAAGGGAGACACCACAGACCTGAAAAATTATCGACAAATTTCACTTCTTTCACAACTTTACAAACCCTTTACAAAGATTATTACAAACAGATTAACAATTAAATTTGACGAATATCAACCAGTAGAACAAGCCGGATTTAGAAAAGGGTACAGCACCTGTGATCATCTATATACTTTGAAAATCTTGAAAAAAAAAATAGAAAAGACTAACGAATACCATCTCCCAGTAAAAATCAACGGAGGCGTAAGACAAGGAGACACAATATCTCCAAAATTATTTACAGCTGCCTTAAAAGATATCTTTAAGTCAATAGCCTGGGAAAATAGGGGAATCCCTATTAACGTAAGATACTTGAATCATCTTAGATACGCAGATGATGAAGTACTAATGGCCGACACATGGAATGTACTGAGTACGATGATTAAGGAGCTACACACAGAATCTCCAAAACAAGGACTGAAAATGAATTTCAGCAAAACTAAACTATTAATGTCAAACAAAAATGACAAACCTATGATAAGCATCCAAGGGACATAGATAGAACACGTAGGTGAATATACATATCTTGGTCAAAATGTCAAGGTACCAAACACCAGAGATGAATGGCCATAATTAGGAGAGGTTATATTCGGCAAACCGAATAGGGAGAAAGGCTTAAAAAAACAAAAGATATGGTGGCAGGAATTCACTGGTCAACCGCTGGCCTGAGATATGCCACTTGAAAGAGTCAAAAATAGCCCTTTTTTGAATCTCTGAGCCCCGTGGACCAATTTTAAACTCAAAGTATCTAATTTTTTTTGACATAATGTTAACTTTTTGAAGAATTAATTTACAAAACAGCAGTTTTAGTTTTCTTTTCGTTCTTTTAGACCTGTGATACAAAATAAAACTTATCTTTTGCGGTTTTCTAAATTAGGCCATCAAAAAGCTGACCTTATAGCAAAGAAAAATGAGACATTGTGAGTTATAATCGGTATATTAGATGTTGCTCTTCAAACATAGGTAAAATGGAAACACGCTCTATTTTTAGTCGGGCAAAACAAGTAGATAAAGACCCGGGCCAAGAAATTTGATAAGTAGACATTGTGGTATACATATAGAGCTACCTTCACTTAAATTTTTATGCAATTTGAGATTGTCAGGAAAAAGTACCATCAGTTTACAAATGCTAATGCAACATGCGATTTTGGGTAATTTTAAAAGGCTGTATCTTCGAATCAACTACATGGATTGTAATTTACCAATGCTCGTTTGAAAGGTATTTAAAGATATTTTAACTTCCTGGTTTCTACAATTTTTTTTCCCTGCATAGTTAAATTTTGACAATTTTTAGAAAATCGTAGTTTTTTTTTTGTTCTTATTGACCTATTGACCAAAAAGTTGACATTATATAAAAAAAATGAGATATTGTGAGTTAAAATCGGGCCACTGGGCTCAAAGATATAGCTCTTCAAATATAGGGTAAAAAAGGACTATTTTGACCTTTTCGAGAGATACATCTCAGGCCCATATAGAGGGATAAAAAAATAGTTATAGGTTACTTCTCAAGGTACAATGATATAATAAAATTTGGTTGAAAATTCGTTGACCCACCCCCTTACAAAAGTGGTCGAAAAGTAAGAATATTGCTTATAGTCGGTTCGCTACATTTACGCGGGTTTCGGATTAACAAAATTATGCTAATGACTCATTGATAACCAGTTGCAGTAAACGACTTCCCAGAAAATTAGGTAAACCTGCTTTAATGGTCAATATTTTAAAATACATTAAAATAACATTAGGGTAGGTATAAATTTGTTACAATATTGCAGTTGAATTGATTCTTTGCCAGTGTTGACATTGTATGTTTGTGGAAATATTTAAAAATGCCTAGACGTGTGTTAGATGTAGATAGTCTAATTTGTAGTGTACATAAGTATTTTATGGATGAAAAAGAAGATGGCGGTCCTTTAAAATCGGTAATGTCTGTTCAACAACGCGTATGTGATGCTCTAGGAATTAGTGAAACCAAACTAAGAGGAGTATTACAAAATCGCAATAATGAACAGCCGAAAGAAGATCACCGAGAAAACTCGCCTATCATTTGAAAACGAAAGATATTCCAGATGGAAAAAAATTTGAAATTCGTGATAACATTTATCGAATGCGAGCCAACAAGGAACATACAATTCTCTCGGAATTAAAAGATAGAAAATTTTACAAAATTGGCAGAACAAGTCTATGGCAGTGATACATAATTTGGGTTTCAAATTTCAAACGGAGGATAACAAAAAAGCCCTTTGTGAAAGAAGTTCTGTTGTGCACAAAAGAATTAACTTTCTAAGAAAATATTCTAAATTAAAAGAAGAAAGGGAAAATTTTATATATTTAGACGAAACATGGATATTTTCTAGGGGTGCAACCAAGAGAATATGGCAAGATGATAACGTAAAGTCTATCAAACATACTGATGGAGAAGGGAAGCGACACAAAATTATTACATGCAGGAGGGAAATCGGGTTTTATAGAAGGTGCTGATTTAATATTTTCATCTAAATCAAAATCAAGTGACTATCACGATAATATGAACACAGAAATGTTTGTAAAATGGTTACATAAAAAACTTCTCCCAGGTTTAAGTGAGCCCAGCGTAATTATTTTAACCAATGCACCTTACCATTCTGAAGTATTAAACAAAAGTTCAACGAATTCTTGGACTGTTAATAAAATTAAAGAATGGTTGAC